AACCAGCCATGGATCGGCCCAAATGGATGTAGTAAGACCGTTGCCGATGTGTCTAAATGAAAAGAAATTATCACTACTAGAAAATGCAAAATAGGCAACGATTTATTTATCGACGAAATTAATTTCGTTGCCAATAATTATATTTTAGCAACAAAATATAGTATTTGTGGCTAACGAATAACGTTTTTGTAACAAGATATTTTTGTTGCCTTTGAATCTCGTAGGCAACGAAACATATAGTTGTGAATAGTATCGTATATGATTTAGTCCGTGGGGCTTTCGTCTTCCTTGAGCCAACTTCTGTACGGACTCCGGTGACGGTACCTGCAACGCCGGGAGGGGTTCCCGGCGGGAGAGCTCCAACGATCAAGTCAATGATCGGAATGGAGAAAAATATGCAATGTAATAGTAAAAATGGTGTGTATCCTGTGTGTGTGTACGTGTGATGGTCCTTCTATTTATAGATGGAGAAAACTTGGCCTTCAAGGCTTTCCTTTTTTTAGGTTTTCTCCTTTCCCCCAAGTCATGTATCTTGGGCCTGTATTGTCCTGGGCTCGCCTTACCCCGTTTTGGTATTGGGCTGGCGAGTTAAGGTACTCCCACGTGGTTCCCGAGGTTTGCACCATACGGCGACTTCGCTCATAATTGCGAGCTAAGTCGTCATGGGTTCTTCGTTGTGGGCCTATCATACTGGGCTTACCCTAATGGGCTTATGCTTATTTGTTACTTGTCAAACTAGCCCGTATCAACTACTCCCCCCTACTCCTTATTTATAAAACGGGTTGTCTTTCCCTTACTTCGTTTTATAAGTATGGAGTACGAGGTGTTAGTTCGTGCTGCGATTTAAGTTCACGTCGGTGTACGCAACTCCCTTACCTCTTCCTTCCATTAATTGCTCTGACATCCCGTGTGATCGATTCGGATTCCCTAGGTCATCATGAGGAGCTGTCAATCAACGCTTTTCGCGCTAGGTTCGAGGCGATCCGCATTAAATCTCGTCCGTCCGGGTAAACGGTTATGATTGATTTTCCCTTTTTCCGAGGCAGTTATTAAGGAATCCCAAACGGTGCCTCTTGCACTGGGATCGAAATAATATACTTTGAATCCCATCCGTCCGAATCGACGGCTGTGATCAATTTCTTTTCATTTCCTTCTCCTATAAGTATCTGACTTCTACGAATTTTCAAAATTTTTTCCTCTTCTTCACCTCTGTGCTCTCCTTGTCTCTACTTTCCTCCGGCGATTTTGCTTTTCCGAGAATCTTTCCACCCCGTGCTTGTTTTCTTCTTCGACAAAGGTACTCCATTTTTCCCCTGCTCTTTACTATCCTTAACCTATGTCTTCCAATTCCCCCGACCCCTTTGGTCAGAAAATGCCTTCACGGGAAGGAGATGAATACCCTACCCTCACGCTTTCTTCTTCTTCGGAGGAGGGGCCCTTCTTTTCCCCTTCGGGTAAATTACTGAAAAAGTCTAAGAAAAGGGGGAGGGACGACGTTCTGTCTTCCGCGAGGAGTGGATCTCCTTCGTTGTCTGGGGGGCGGGATCAGGACGATCAATGGGGGCCCAGTACTTTAAGTGAGGTAGACCTAGCTAACTTAGTTCGCGATATAGGTCTCCCTACCGACATCGAACTGATCCTACCTTCTCGAGATCAGCGTCCCCTAAACCCCCCTCCCGGCTTTAGCACTTGGTTTTCTGAGCAGTTCTACTTCGGTCTTTCTTTCCCCATCTCGCCATGGTTCTCCGAGATTGCTCAAATATGCAACATATCCCTTAACCAGTTCCACCCACATGCCATAGTTATTATGACCGGGTTTCGCATGCTCTGCGCTTGGTCGGGGGTAATCCCTACCCCGGCCCGGTTCAGGAGTATTATGGTGTTAAAAAATTCCAGCCCCTACCATGTTTCCATCTCGGCTCGTCCGGGCTTCAAGATACTAATGCCACCCAATAAAACCGACGGGTGGCAAGGCCACTATTTTTTCGCGAGGGACCCCGCTGACACTCCTTATTTGTGTCCCTGGTTCGCCACCTTGCCCGAGAAAAAGAGAGGGAAACCTTTAGCAGTTGATGAGTGGCTTTTGAAAATGATTGTCCACTTTCAACCGAGTTATGGTATGCCCGAGAATCTTACAAGTTTTCCGCCGATACTTCGTCATTTTTACTTCCATGACAACGGCACTCATCCCTTAACTCAAGAGGATTTAGGTAGGTTAAAACACGATATCAATTTTCCGTATTAGTTCGGCATTTGTTTCGGGCTGTTGCTCCCCGTTTAATTGTTTTTGTATGCTTGTTCAGGTATTGCCTGTTTGCTCACCACCTTTTTTCTCAAACAGACTTAAGGATGAAGAGGATGTTCAGAGGTGATAAGCCGACTTCTCGCCCATCCGAACCGGAGCCTGGATTTCAGGCATCCGAGCTTCAGCGTCCTCTGGCCGCTGAATCCGAGAAACGGTCATCAGAGGAGGGGGCTCTAAGGCCGAGGCCTCCCAGGAAGAGTGCTGGGGCTTCACGTCCTCGAGGTGGTTCACGTACTGAGGATCCCGAGCTTCCTCGCCAATCCTCAGCTATAGTAACAGTCTCCTCTTCGCCACCTTCTTTAACCGAAGAAGTGGCCGAAAAAGAGCCCACCACGAAGAAGAGGAGGGCGGATCTGGCTCTTGGGTTGGTCGGATCAACTGCCGGGCAGACCGGATCGGCTCCGGGGCAGGTCGGATCATCTCTGCCCCCTAACTTCGCACTTCATCTCTGCCAGAACGCAGAGAACGCGATTGCCGCTTGCCGGGCCATGGCGCTTCCTCGTGACGTTGCCCACTTCGGGCAAATGAGCAAAGGTGATCGGCTTGAGTTGCTTCTGCATAACATAACGCAGGTTGGTTTTATCTCGCACACATGAGTTAGCTTTTATGCTTTTTAATTGCAGTCGATTTTACTCGAGTCTTCTGTATGTGCAGCAATTCGCCATCGCCTTTTCGGGCCCCCTGGGGTGGGACGATGTTTCGCGCGAGGCGTATGATAATCAGAGGAAGGAGGTTACCCAACTCCGAAAAGAGGTCCGGGCTTTAAAGGAAAGTCTGGCAGTGGCTGAGTCGGCGAAAGAGGGGTTATCCGCCGAGGTGAAAAAACTAAAAGAGAAGGAGGAGATCTCGCAGGCGGAGAAAAGCTCCTTAGCATCCCACAATGCTAGTTTGGAGGAAAAAGCGAAGCAGCTTTCGAACGAGCTCTTCGCCGCTGGGGTGCAGGCGTCTGCCAACTTCACCGAAGGAGTGAAAGAAGGGCATAGACTGTTCCCGGGGTCGTCTGAGGGTCTCCGTTTCATGGAGGCATTCGTCGGTCGCTTTTTCAATCGGCTATGGCGCTCGACGACGTTTACCCGACAAGCGTCCGGCCTAGCTCGCTTCTTTTTCTCGGAAGCGGTGAAGGCTGTTCGGAAGCGATTAAACGGTGCCGGCATCGAGTTCCCGTTGGTCGAGAACGATCTTGCCGAGGACTTGCCGGATGACGTGATCCCGGGCTTCGAAGGCGACGTGAATGAAGACCCTGACTTAGAGTGGTGGAGGGAGGTGCATCGGGAGCTTGTTGTAGACTTCTCTCGCCAAGGAAGCTCTTCGGTGATCATCACCGATTTGGTTGGGGATGTTGAGACTATCGATGCAATGGCGAATCTCAACAAGGCACCGTCGGACCTTACCTCCTCTCCTCTCCCATCTGTCGGAGATCAAGGCGAAGCCAGGGTGGAGTCACCAAAAAATACTTAGCCGATTTTAGCTGTTTCCCATTAATGTACTATGTACTTGTATTTGAACGATTTTTCTCTTTTGTATGTGTTTGAACAATTTTTCTCTGCTCTCCTTATATCGATGTATCAGGAGTTCGTTTGTTTAAGTATTGCCTTTCGTATTTACTTTGAGTTTATGATATTCTGATTCTTGTGCATCCAAGAGTAATTCTTTAGACTTAGCAACTTTTCCTTGTATTCGAATTGAACCGATGACTTCTTAGATTTGTACCGATGATTATCCCATGATTTCATCAACCCGGGACTTACCCTGATTTTGGCAAGCCTCTTTGATTTTAGCGCAATATTTTGCTTTCATTCCAATTTAACTCGCCTCGGTAAAACACGCGAGCTAACGTCACGATGAAACATGCGAGTTAACGCTACGATGAGACACGCGATTTAACACCACGATGAAACACGCGATTTAACGCCACAGTAAAACACGCGATTTAACGCCACGATGACACACGCGATTTAACGCCACGATAAAACACGCGATTTAACGCCACAATGAAACACGCGATTTAACGCCACAATGAAACACGCGACTTAACGCCACAGTACAACACGCGATTTAACGCCACGATGAAACACGCGAGTTAACGCCACGATGAAACACGCGATTTAACGCCACAATGAAACACGCGATTTAACGCCACAATGAAACACGCGATTTAACGCCACGATGAAACACGCGATTTAACGCCACAATGAAACACGCGATTTAACGCCACGATAAAACACGCAATTTAACGCCACAATGAAACACGCGATTTAACGCCACAATGAAACACGCGATTTAACGCCACAATGAAACACGCGATTTAACGCCACGATGAAACACGCGATTTAACGCCACAATGAAACACGCGATTTAACGCCACGATAAAACACGTGATTTAACGCCACAATGAAACACGCGATTTAACGCCACAATGAAACACGCGAGTTAATCGCCACAGTAAAATACGCGAGTTAACGCCACAGTAAGACTTAAATAAATAACACAAGGATTTTTTAACGTGGAAACCCTCCAAATGAGGAGGGGAAAAACCACGGGGCCTAGCCCAGATCGGAAAATGGATGTTTATTAATGGTTGTTTGCCTGTACAAGGTGTGTCTCGATTTTTCTGACTTAATTGCCTCTATCTCCTTTCTCTTTCTCTTTTTTTTTTTTTTTTTTTTTTTTTTTTTTTTTTTTTTTTTTTTTGTTTTTACGCGAAGAAGCGTTTCAAATGGATGACATTCCATGCCCGTGGCAATGGTTTTCCTTCTACATCTGCCAGCTCGTATCCTCCACCAGCCAAGCACTTCGTGACCACGTATGGTCCTTCCCAATTGGCTTCCAGTTTTCCTGTGTGCTTTAGGGCATCAGTTCGTCGTAGAACGAGATCACCAATTTGGAACGAGCGAGATTGGACCCCTTGGTCATATCGGGCTTTAATCAAATTCTTGCTTCGTTCCATGTGTAAGTAGGCTGCTTCTCGTAAGTCAAAAATCTCGTCCAGCTGGGTTCTCAATGCATCATCATTGGTTTCCTCATCGAATGTGGCTATGCGGAGTGTATCCATTGCCACTTCTACTGGAATAACTGCTTCGGTGCCGTAGGTAAAACGAAATGGTGTTTCTCCGGTGGCTGCTTTGGCCGAAGTTCGGTAAGACCAAAGAACCGACGGTAACTCGTCTACCCAACTGCCTCCCAGTTCGTCTATCCTCTTTTTTAAGCCATTGACAATGGTTCGATTTGTGGATTCGACCTGACCATTGGCCTGGGGGTGTGCTACTGCCACAAACTTCTGTGTGATCTTTATCTCTTCGCACCATGCGCGGATCTTTTTGCCATTGAACTGAGTGCCATTATCCGACACGAGGCTGCGGGGTAGGCCAAACCGGCAACAGATATATTTCCAAATGAAATGCATGACCTCATCCTCTGTTATTTTAGACAAAGCCTCAGCTTCGACCCACTTGGTGAAATAGTCCACCGCGACGATAAGGAATTTTTTCCTACCGGTGGTTTGAGGAAAAGGTCCTACCAGATCAATTCCCCACTGGGCGAAGGGGCATGGAGCGCTCATGATGGTCATTTCTTCTCCTGGTTTATGGATTAGTGGGGCAAATTTCTGACATTGTATGCAATGTTGCACATATTGATGGGTGTCCCTCTTCATACCGGGCCAATAGTATCCGGCCCGATGTAATTTCTGTATGAGGGCCCGAGCTCCTCCATGCTCTCCACAACCTCCTCGGTGTACTTCGTCCAGGACATGTTTCACCTCTTGTTTTCCTAGGCATCTCGCATCTACTGTGGTGAAATTCCTCTTGTATAATATCTCGTGCCGCACATAAAAGTGCCTCGCTTTATATGCCAAACGATGTTGTTCCCTCTTTGTGCCAAAACGCTCTCCTCTGAAATACTTGAACAAAGGTGTTCTCCAGTCAGGTTCTTCATCGATCATCATGACTCCCTGCGTCGGGGTAGGGGCGATGAGGATGGTGATTTTTCGTTCAACACAATCAGCGACTGACGACCCAATCTTAGCGAGGAAGTCAGCTCGTTGGTTGTCGCTCCTCGGAAGTTGATGCACCGTGCAGGCTTCGAAGGTTTCTTGTACTGCTCGAGCTTTATTCACATATCCCTTCATTCTATCGTTTTTTACTTCGTAATCTCCTTCTAGTTGATGTATCACTAATTGTGAATCGGAGTATACTCGCACTACTCGCGCTCCGAGCTCCTGAGCAATCTCCATTCCTCGGATGAAAGCTTCGTACTCTGCTTCGTTATTAGAAACCCGGGGTAGTTTGACGGCGAACTCGACCTCCGTTCCCGTGGGATCAATGACTATTATTCCTGCCCCTGCTCCTGTTGCTGTAGACGACCCGTCCACGTAAATTTTCCACTCCTTTTCGATAGGTATTCTGGTAGTCTCCCGGATGAAGTCTACCAGGGCCTGCCCTTTAACCGAGGTGCGGGGTTGATACTGAATCTCGTATTGTCCTAATTCGATGGCCCATTTAACAATTCGTCCTGACGCAGTAGGTTGACCCAGGGTTTGCCGAAGTGGTAGACTTGTACGGATTACCATGGTATGCGACAGGAAATAAGGCCGGAGTCGTCGCGTGGTGAGGACTAGAGCATACGCTATTTTTTCGACTTCAGAATATTTGCTTTCCGACGTAGTAAGGATTTTACTAGTATAATAGATCGGCTTTTGTTGGTTATTCACTTCTTTGAACAAAACCGAACTGATTGATTCGTCGCCTACCGACAGGTATACGAACAGAGTTTCCCCTTTTTCAGGAGTGCTAAGAATCGGCAAACAAGTGAGGGATCGTTTTAATGCGTCGAACGCGAGCTGGCACTCGGTAGTCCATTCAAACTGAGCTGTTTTTCTCAATATTTTAAAGAAAGGTAGACTCTTGTCAGCCATCCGTGATATAAACCGAGCTAGGGCTACTACCTTCCCTGCTAAGGATTGAACTTCTTTGATGGAGCGAGGGGGTGTCATCTGGAGTACGGCCTCAACCTTATCCTGGTTCACTTTAATACCTTCTCGATTAACAATATATCCCAGGAACTTTCCAGCTTGTACTGCAAATGCACATTTCGCAGGGTTTAGCTTCATTCCATATAGACGAAGAGTGGCAAAAGTCTCAGCTAGATCTGCGAGGTGCGTGGAGCGCCTTTTGCTCTTAACTAGCATGTCATCTACGTAGACTTCGATGTTGCGTCCGAGTTGAGCCCGAAACATTCTGTCCATCAATCGCTGATACGTGGCCCCTGCATTTTTCAAACCGAAAGGCATTACCACGTAACAATAAGTACCCGTGGCTGTGACAAAACTTACTGCTGGCTGGTCCTTCTCATCCAGCGGAATCTGGTGGTATCCTTGCGAAACATCCATCATACTAAGTAGTTCGCACCCGGCAGTGGCATCTACAAGTTGATCTATGCGAGGTAAGGGATAATCGTCCTTTGGGCAAGCCTTGTTTAAGTCCCTGAAGTCGATGCACATTCGCCACTGGCCGTTGGCTTTATGTACCAAAACCGCGTTGGACAGCCATGTGGGGAATTGGATTTCCCTGATATGTCCGATGTCCAGAAGTCGCTGAACCTCCTTGTGTATGATTTCGTCCTTTTCGGTACCGAAGTGCCGTCGTTTTTGTTTGACGGGTCTACACTCAGGTCGCAAATTGAGCCTGTGCACAACAGTACGAGGTGAGATACCGGTTAGGTCACTTGGTTGCCATGCGAAGATGTCTTCATTAGATCGCAGTAACGCTATCAGCTCGTCTCGGAGAGGTGGTTCTAAATCCTTGCTTATCCGGGTTTGTTTCATCATACCGGGGACGAGGTCAATCACCATCAATTCGTCCATAGGTTGTACATGATTAATCTTATCCTCGGGGTCAACTCGGGGGCGTTTCTCGTCCCCCAAATCTTCTTTGGTGAGAGTGTCACGTCGCCCTCTCTCTGCTACCTTAACCATCTCAACATAACATGATCTCGACTGGGCTTGATCTCCTCTGACCTCCCCTACCATTCCGTCGACTGGGAATTTGAGCTTCTGATGAATAGTTGAGGGGACCGCCCGAAAGGTATGCAGCATTGGTCGTCCTATTACGATGTTATACGAAGTAGGCGATCCTTCCACGATGACAAAATTAACAGCTTGGGTGCGGGTTCGAGGTGGCGTTCCTATAGTGACAGGGATTTTAACCTGTCCAACTGCTGTTAGGGATCCTCCTGTGAACCCGAATATCGGAGTGGTGACGGGGAAAACTGGGAGATCGAGTTCCATTTGCAGGAAGCACTCGTAAGATATGACATCCACCGAACTCCCTGGATCGACAAAAGCGCGGGCGACGTCATACCCTCCCACATTAATCGTGATGAGGAGAGGATCGCAGTGGAAATCTTCCAGTCCCTCTTCGTCTTCGGGACCGAATGAGATAGCGGGGTATCGATGACACTTTGATGTAGAAATTTGACAAACTTCGCGTTGGTTCTTAAGGCTACCGAGATGGCGTCTCCTAGCCCTGTGCGTATCTCCTCCCGTAGGGCCCCCTGAAATCATCTGAATGAATCCCCTTTTCGGCATTGGCGGCGGGGGCGGGACTCGCGCCGGATTTCCGAACTGAGCTTCGCGCTTCTGTCCCCGAGGGGGGTCTATCTTCACAAAATCTCCAATCTTATTGTCTCTGATGAGACGTTCTACTTCATCTTTCAGATGCGCGCAATCATCAGTTGTATGGCCGTATTCGTTATGAAAACGACAAAAGGTTCCCAATGTCGGATCTCGGCGAGGTGCTTCTCGAGCGGTCCGAGGCCATCGCAAATCAGCCCTCTTTTCGATTGCACATAACACATTGGACAAAGGGGCCGTAAGAGGCTGGTACGATTGATATCGAGATCCCTTAGCATCTAGAGCGGTAGCTCGACCAGTGCCGACGCCGGATATTGCATCTCTCCGGGGCAACATGGGCTCCTTACTTTTCCTAGTTTCGTTGGCTCGCGCATTCAGTGTCTGGAGAGATTCCTCTACTTTCTGTTGTCGAGCTTCTTCAAGATTAATGAATCTGGATGCTCGTTCCAACAAATTGTCGAAATCAGGTGAAGGTTCCAGCGCCAGGGCTCGAAAGAACTCATCATCCCTTAATCCTTGTGAAAGAGCTGCCATAAGCACCTCGTCGCTCGTAGTGGGGACCTCCAGAGTGGCCGAAGTGAACCGTTTGATATAATTCCGCAGACTTTCTTTCTCTTTCTGGCGGATGCTGAACAGTGACAGCGAGGTCTTTTTGCACTTCTTTGAACTAGCGAATTGATTCATGAAGGCCTTAGCAAACTGTCCAAAAGAATGTATACTCCCTGGCAACAACAAACCGAACCAGGCCTGGGCTGGCCCAGCTAAAGTGGTGACGAAGGCGCGGCACTTCACCCCCTCCGTGAGCTGGTGGAGCGATGCTGTGTTGTTGAACCGACTCAAGTGCTCGGCTGGATCTGACGCGCCGTTATACTCGAATAGGATTGGTCCGTAATTAGCCGGTATGGGGTCGTCATGGAGATGCTTGGCGAAAGGGCCAGATCCCGCGAGATCTCGCGTTGGCCCACTTCGCAGGGCCTTCAGCTCATCTATATCGCGCCTTAAGCTGTCAACTTCCGTTCTGACGCCATGACTGTTGCCTCCTCGATTCTCCGAATAGCTATCGCACTCATCCTCAGCTCGCCCTTCATTCTGGGAGCGTCTGAGATCTCTCTTGGGCCGGTTATCTTGAGGTAAATTTTGCGTGTAGTTCCGGATGGCCGTAGTGATCATGGCTTCTACTTCATCCCGGGTGTACGTACGCTCATCGGGGGATGGAGCCGGTGCTGTAGCCGGTCTCTTCGAAGCGGCTCCACCGCTCTGAAATTCGAAAGAAGGGCTTCCTGAAAAGAGGGGGATCCGTCTTTCTTTCTCGGGCGTGAGCAGGCTGCACCCTGACTTCTCCCTCAAGGCAGACGGCGGATCGACGCCAGGTGTGTCATGAACTGCTGCATCCAGCTCCTTTTGTAGGTTTCGGGTGATCGTGCCTTCTTCTTCCATTTTTTCTCCACGTTCTTAGCTCAGATCTGGACTTCCGGGGGTAGATCTGATTTTTCCCGGAAGCTGTTTCCCGAAACTTCTAGATCTTTCCCACAGACGGCGCCACTTGATTTAGTCCGTGGGGCTTTCGTCTTCCTTGAGCCAACTTCTGTACGGACTCCGGTGACGGTACCTGCAACGCCGGGAGGGGTTCCCGGCGGGAGAGCTCCAACGATCAAGTCAGTGATCGGAATGGAGAAAAATATGCTATGTAATAGTAAAAATGGTGTGTATCGTGTGTGTGTGTACGTGTGATGGTCCTTCTATTTATAGATGGAGAAAACTTGGCCTTCAAGGCTTTCCTTTTTTTAGGTTTTCTCCTTTCCCCCAAGTCATGTATCTTGGGCCTGTATTGTCCTGGGCTCGCCTTACCCCGTTTTGGTATTGGGCTGGCGAGTTAAGGTACTCCCACGTGGTTCCCGAGGTTTGCACCATACGGCGACTTCGCTCATAATTGCGAGCTAAGTCGTCATGGGTTCTTCGTTGTGGGCCTATCATACTGGGCTTACCCTAATGGGCTTATGCTTATTTGTTACTTGTCAAACTAGCCCGTATCAGTATATATTTTACAACGAATTTAATATAAGACAACAACTTTGTTGTCGCAAAAGAGTATTTATTTTTGCTACGACATAAAATTGTAGTAAATACATTAACAACGGCAACAAATTTATTCTTGTTGTGAATAAATGACGCCAAGTCATTTGACAGCAAAATATAATCGTTGTAATTTAAAAACCAACTCTTTTTTCTTGATTATATATATATATTAAAAATCTTATTTGTTTATATTATCTACAGTAACTCATGAGTTTTTTGTTAAGTCAATTGTTGATATGATTTTAAAAATTTACTATATATAATTAATGTTAGATATTATATTTATAATTAAATTTGATTGTAAATTATTATTTTGAACATAAAATGCATATAGTAAATTATTTGTTATGACATATTATTTATTTATGTAGTTATTTTAATCATTTGATCTTATAAATTTATTTTCAGTTAGTTTAGACAAATGTAGTGTTGCCCCAGCGGTTTGAAGAGTCTCTAACTTCAAATCAACCAGAGTTCGACTATTACCATTGTCATGTTTTCATATATTTGATATTTATCAAGCGGGTTAGCCTGTTGGGCTAGTAATGAGTTTGACCCTAGTAATGAGTTTGACCCAACAATTTCAACTCTGAAGTGGTTCGGCGGTCCAAAAGTCGGGCCCGCGAATGCGGGTTGGCGGTCGAAAGGTCAGGTCGGCGGATACGGGTCGGTAGTCCAAAGGGTCGGGCTGGCGGGTGCGGTAAAAAATAAGTCATGTATTGACAACCATAAATATGTTGCAACGAAATACATTTTTGTTGTAATCAAAGAATTTGCAACGGTAAATGTATGGCAACAAAATAGACTCGTAGTTATTAATTAATGCATTGACAACGATCAATACGTACCAACGACATAACAATGTTGTCTATAATGCATTATTGGCAACGATTTGTACATTTCGTTGCCCGGAACTTTTGGTGACAAGGAAACGGCAACGAAAGTGGCAACAAAATAATTTCGTTGCAAGAAGAATCGGCAACGAAATTAATGTCTTTTGGCAACAAAATATATTGTTGCCAATTTGACAATTTCTTGTAGTGTATGTTGATTTATATATTCAAAATACCTTATATGCCCCAATTAATTATTCAAATAAATTAAAAAGAAATTATGTTGATATATTCAAATCCTGCCCTCAATCGACACCTAAATCTTCTCCAAAAATTATGCCCCGAAATCACGCTTCAGGTTTTATGCCCAAAATAACGCTCCCAAATCAATTCTCAAAATCTCGTTTTTATTTCTTTTCTTATTTTTTATTTTTTCATAAGAAAAGAATGATTTTGTTTTAAAAAAAGGTTTATTTTTCATTTTGTTAGTTTCGGTTTTTTTCTTTTTTCTTTTTTTATACTTCTGTTTTTAAAGTTAAATTTAAAAAAAAAAATAGTTTTTAACAAATTGAAATCCACTATAAACTTGCCAAAAACCACTATGTGACTATTATAGTATTTCGTTACGAAAATCCCTTATAAACTTATCGAAAATCACTATGTAATTAACAAAAACCACTCTGTAATTAATGAAAACCACTCTTTAAATTAACAAAAATCACTATGTAATTAACCAATTCCATTACAAAAAATCACTAAATACTTATCAATTAACAAAAATCACTCTATAATCAATGAAAATCCCTCTGTAATTAACAAAAATCACTATGTAATTAACAAATTCCATTACAAAAATTCACGAAAAACTTATCAATAAACAAAAACCACTCTGTAATTAATGAAAACCACCTATGTAATTAACAAAAATCACTATGTAATTAACGAATTCCATTACGAAAATCCACTATAACTTATCAAAAACTACTACATGCCTTTGTGTTTGTATATATAAAATAAACAAACCATACATTTAAGGAAAAAAAAAAAGAAGAAAGATGCAGACCGAGAGAATCAACATATGAATATGTCCATGAATCCCAAAATCGATAAACCCGTCATCCGCACCATCACCAGTCATTAGGGGTGTAAATCGGACGGAATGGATCGGAAATGCTTTTTTCGGAAATTTTCCAATTTTTTTCGGAAGATTAAAATAGGTTCCAATTTCCGTTCCAAAAAAATCGGAATTTCAAAATCCATTCCAATTTCGGAATACCTCGGAATCGGCGGAATTTCGGAATTTTCGGAAAGTGCATTAACTCTTAATTTTTTGTTCCAAAATCGGAAATAATGTTAATCTTTAGAATTTTTCCCTAATATTTTCGTAATTTTACAGCAAAATGCAAGAATCCAAAACGAATGTCAATAACATTAAATATAAATACTTGTAAAAACAACATAATCAATTTATCAAAGCAAAGATAGTTCTTGCAAATTTTCAAAAACAAAAAGAAAAAGTAAACATAGTTCTTGCAAAACATGAATAGAAAAACAATTCAAAAAAATCAAAATAACAAAATAAAAATAAAAAATAATAATAATAATTCTTGATGTTGTTCCTGTGATCTAAGAACTAGCTTCAGACATCTTTGCTTCTTTATTTCAAGGACTACTTCAACTTACTGCAAAGGAATAAAAAAAAAAAGAAAATCACAAAAAAAATATTCAATAATATTAAGCAGCCAAACATAGCAGGAACATATCATCGTATCTAAAGTTTTGACATCATTCTGTAACAATAAAATGTATACCTTGAGTTTATATCAACTCATGAGCCTCAATTTATAATTTTTAATTCTTGAAATTGACGAACACCTACACAAAACAAATAAGCAAAAACACTTCTTTATTAAAAATAATAGTAGAAAAAGCATAAATAAATAAATTAAATTCAAATAAGACATACTCTTTTCAATTTCCACCAGTTGATCAAATTGTTCTTCAACTTCAACCAAAGGACCACTTCTCAACCAATCTTGAGCACACACTAAACATTCCACTAGTTTAGGTGTTAATGAGCTACGAAACGGATCAAGTACTCGGCCCGCGCTACTAAAAGCACTCTCCGAAGCAACCGATGTGATAGGAATCGAAAAAATATCGCGTGCCATTATGGAAACAGCTCGATAATTTGAAGCTTTTCCCCTCCACCACCCCAAAATATCAAAATTTTCGCTCTCCTCCTCAATCCCATCGTTGAAGTACCTATCTAAATCACTCGTTACATCTATGGTACTCTTCCTCTTGAGTTTTGCCCGGATCTCAAATTTCAAATCACTTCCTGTTTTACCATCTTTTTTTGTCAAGTCATGCACCAGCTTAGCGCTTTGACCATCCGCAAGTGTAGTAGTTTCCACCCTGTAACATTCATAAAGTCGGGACATAAACAGTTTTACACTTTTTATAAATTTTTCAACCTTCACCTTTCTACCCGCTACGGAAAGTAAAGGGTCATACTCCAACAGCTTATCATACCAAAGCTCCAAATATTCTGTTTTGTTCCGAGGATCCAAAACAAGCGATGCAAGGAAGATTGGATTCAACTTGTCAACATCACAATAAAAATCGAACTTCTCATTCATCTTCATGGTCATAGTGCAACGGTTAACATCAAGATTGCTCAACTCACGTGTTAAAAGAACTTTGACATTTGATATCTCATCAAAGTATGTATGAGACGAGACATAATGAGAACCCGAAATACGTGTTGTTAACAAATAAAATTCTTCCAAAAATGCATGCAAGCTTTTCAAGTTGGCCCAATCTTTACTTCCTATAACATCACACTCACTTACATAACTTGGATCTTGCTCCTCAAGTCTGTCAAATGCTTTCTCGAAAGGTAAGGCCGAATCTATCATAAGATAAGTTGAGTTCCATCTAGTTTTGACATCCAGACACACAATTCTTTTGCATGTTATTTTCTCTTCTTCGATACATTTCTTAAACATTTGCAGCCGTGATGGACTATTACGCACATACTTTACACTTCGGCGAAGACGCTTAATAGTTTCCTTCATCTCATCAATTCCAGCTCTAACGACAAGATTAATAACATGGGCCAAGCAACGCACACGAAAAAAATTCACCACCAAGCAATAACATATTTCTTTTGTTTAATCTTTTCTTCAAATCATCAACACATGTATCGTTATTCCTTGCGTTATCAAGGGTAATCGTCATGATCTTATCTAAACCCCACTCCAATAAACAACTTTCAATCACTTTTGCAATTACCTCATCTTTGTGCGGGTGTGGAACAACATAAAAGTTGATGATTTTTTTTCTAAGGATCCAATTTTTGTCAACAAAGTGAGCTGTAAGGACCAAGTATCCAAGATTCTGGATGGAAGTCCACATATCACGTGTGGAGCTTTCACTCAAATAGGTTCTCAATTTTTCTTTTTCCTCAAAAAATATCTCATAACAATCTTTTGTAATCGTTAGCGATGAAACTTAGGTTGCACC